AAGCATTACCAAAGGAATTATATGTGGATTTAAATGAATATTACTTGGATTACGACTATAAACCAAGAGAAAAGCCATGTCAACAAGAAATTAAAAGGATTAGCTCAACAATTGATTCGAAAATCATCACAGATAAACATGCTGAATTAATCTTGAAATGGATTAAAAGAATGGATGTTAAAGACGAATTAAAAGATCAATATGAATTTAAATTATTGATTCGAGGATCTCGGAATGGATTTACACACGAAAAGTTCCATGAACTTTGCGATAATCAAATTCATACTATATCAATTATTAAAATAGAAGGTGGAGACGAAATTCTTGGAGGATACAATCCTTTAGTATGGAAAAATATTAAATCTTTTTTTATTAGCTTTTATAACACTAAGGAAAGTTTTATATTCTCTTTTAAGGGTAAAGAAAATATTGAAAACTGTATTTTAAGTCGGGTAAAAGATGTAAATTATGCTATAAAAGAGAGTATTATTGGCGGTCCTTCATTTGGTCGGACAGATCTTAATATAAATGGAACTTTTTCTAATCAATGTAATTGTAGTTGTAAAAAGGATTCTTATGAAAAAGAAATCAGAGAAACTGAAGATTACTTTTCTATAGAAGAATATGAAGTATTTCAAGTTAAAAAAAAATTAATAACATAACAAAATATAATGCGCGCTTACGGTATAAATTCAATCTTTAATAAAATATATTATTTTATACATTTTATGTGAGCACTGATCCTTTTTCATGAATATTATTGATCACTTTTAAATTAAAATAAATTAAATTCGTTTACTTAACTTATTATTAAATATTACTTTATTATTGTCAACCAGTTTTGATGCGGATGATCAGTTCGAATCTCTATCCGAACGCATTATTTTATAGGTCGGTTTAAATAATTGTTTTTAAATTTAAAAAGGAGAAATGTATTGCTTGAAATACTTTTTCTATTGAAACATAATAATAATTCGTGAAGATCTAAATTTTCTGATAAATATATAAAGATTCTAAAATCATACGATCTTAAATTTTCTTTTAAATAACTAGCTACTTTTGATAATTTTTTTAAAAAACCGAACCGTTATAATATATAACCTAACTAAAGTTATAGGTTTGTTAGTTCTTAATTCCTATCAACTCTGCAATGTAAGAGGTTAGTATCATTTCATAATCATCCTATAATACTTTCCGTAGATAATTATAATTACGAATGAATTATTAAAATTATCAAAAGTAAATTTTTTCAACGACATTTTGTAGCTCCATATTTTCAGGTAATAATTAACCATTAAAAATGAAATTTGATCAAAGGAAATCAATTTTAAACGCTAATTCACCTTTATTAGAAGATAAATGACCATCCGAGAAAAAATTCATTCTGATATAACAATTACAAAATTATATTTTGATATCGATGACAACTCATTAGTGGTTAAATATATTCGATAGTTTAATGAAGTATCGTAAATAAGGCAACTATTATTTGCAAAAAAATCACCAATTATCTGGGACTTTAGATCAATATGTAAATAAATTTAGGTCAAAGGCTGTATTTATGAGATAGATTTTGCATCACTGTGTTCAATAAATCAAAAAAAAAATCGTTTTATTCCGTTGCCAAAGAAAAAAAAGGGAAATAATATATTTTTTAATAGCATTTTCTGAGTCAAGATGTACTCTTCTAAATTTTAACACATAATAAATCTGTTTTTTTGGTCCAATATTAAAAATAACTATGGATAAATGAAGTTCACTGATATTAATGATAAAATACGTACTTAATAAAAATGTACTGTAATTCTTAACTATTATCGTATCGTTATATTACACTTTGAGAATTAAATCATGAAATCTTGATTGTGACTATACTAAGGCTGTGCACAAAATTTATTTATATCTCGTGACCCGACTGTGCCAGATTTTCCAACGTTTCAGGATCTTTTTTTTTTTAACTGTCGAATTTTAAAACGAATGAGTTCTATAATGTAACTCTTAAACTGTAAAGGTTTTCGCCCTATAAAAAAAAATTGTCCAGAAAATGTTATCGAAAATGTCCGGTGCATGTGGAAAATGTCCGGAAAATGTAAAAATCGTTCGGAAAGTGTACCAAAACATGGTGGATTCCAGACATCGCGTGATGTCTTGATATTGTCCGGAATTTATACCGAAACTTGGTGTATTCCGGACATTATATGGATACTACGGCAAATTCTGACAAATTCCAGAATTTTTTTTCATAGGGTCGTAATAAAATAATTTTATAAATATTTTTATTATATTTATGTAACATACAAGATATAAAAACAACTAACATAAAAAAATCGAATTTATTATTTTATTGATTTAATTTTTTATATTAAAACTAGGTAGCATAAAGATTAATTTAAAAACCATCACTACGGTCACCAATATAATTATCCATGCTATATTAAAGTCCCATCCCATCACATCCCATATTACATTCCTTAAACCAAACTATATTATTACATACAGCTGATTATCAGAATTTAATGAGATTTGGCTCTTTAGCTTCGTTTGATGAGAAGTTCGAAAGATAATTATCAAGATATACCTTAAATATAATAACATAAATTAAATGGGATGGGATTTTATAGTATGATGTATGGGCAGCAACTATAACTTCTAATTTTTTTGGAAGTGATTCAGGCGAAAGAGCTTCTAAGGAAAAAAGAGGTGATTGAGCGTGAAAAAGGTACATCAGTCTTACTTAATGTTTGAGATGGTGTAGAATTATGCAAATTATAGTAAATTTAAAATTACTTTTACGGATGCTAATCAGAACAAATTTATTATAAATTATAATAAGCATTTTCCTTTTTATTAAAGAAAATAATGCATTAATTAGGAAACAAACAATTAATTTGGTGAAGTTTTATAGATTTGACTGGAGTTCTAGGCAGAATTTATTATAAATGTAAATTACATTTTAATGCTAAAGAATATTCAAAACTTACAATGTTATTCTATAACAATTTAAATTAAATTATTGTACTAAATAAAAATCATTTTTTAAGAGAGATAATAACTTATGATAGAGAATTAACATTTTAGCCAACGTTGATGCAAAATTTTCAAAAGTTCATTTATTAACTTTGAACCTTGGAAATAATAAAATATATGCACATTTATACCAACATCGGGATCTAAATATTTTAGTATACAATAAAAATTAATTAAGTTTATTTAGTACTATACTTTTTTTTTTAAAAAAAAAAGCTTAACTAGAATTGTTATTTGGAATACACCACTAAAATTGTATTAGTAGTATGGTAAAATGACTTCCATAACTCCATGAGGCTGAATATTCCAATACGATTACCACAATCTACAACTATTTAAATAAATTGTACCATAAAAAGTAATAAAATTAATGATTTCTTCAATACATAATTTCGAATAAATAAGTGACAAAATTTTATAAAAAAAAAAAAAAAAAAAAAAAGAAATGCACTCTTATTTAAATTTTCACGAAGAACAAGCGTTATGTTTATTTATTCGAACTCGAATCTTAATTATCAACCTGATAGGTTTAAAATTTATTTTTTTTTTTGTTAAAAAGTCATTTTGTCAAAAGCGCGTTTAAAGAAACTAATATCGTACTAGAAAATTTTCAAAAGTTGTGGCAATAATGCCAAAGGAGTGTAGTTAATATATATAGATCTTTTAAAAAAAATTAATAAATATATAGAACTGAATGTGTTCAATATTAAAAAAAAAAAGAAATTTAATGTAGAATGAAAAAAAAAAATGTTCCTTTTTTTATCTTACTACTTTGAGATTAGAAATAAATAAAATGTGACCGTTCTGACCAAAACATTCGAACATTTTTCTTTAAGGTTCCTCTTTCAGATTGGCAAATTTATTTTGATTTTTTATTATAGAAGTATTTCAAATTATTAGCAGATCTTTAATTCTCTGTTAAAAAAATTCATTGCAAGTTACTTTATTATGTACAATTTGAGGTACATCTTACAAAAATTCTTAAAATGTTTAAAATGTTACAACATAAAAATTTACGGTAAAAATTAATAGTGAGCAAATCAATTAAAAAAAAACAAGTAATTTACTTTAAAATAATTTGAAAGATTTCTGGTAAGATATTTAGAAACTTGGTTAATAATAATAAAAAATAATAATAATGTCTTGTCATGGGTAGATAGAAAACCGGTACGGTACGATTCGCCAGACCAGTACGGTACGATTATGCAGATCAGTATTTTTTCGCGGGAAATTTGA